TCCCTAGCGAATGTCTCTCGTCTAGTTAGTCACCTCTCAGTCAGTCTGAGACTCGAAACAACAAAAAAAAATGAAGAAAAACTATTAGTGCCTGTGGATCCAGATGAGGATGATGATGACTCCACACTCCACTCTCCACTCTCCACACTCCACTCTCCATTCCATTCCCCACTCTACCTCTCGACTGCACTTCAGTTTGCTTCTTTTCTGCTGCTGCTGTTGGGTGGTTGGTTCAATGCACTCGCTCCGCTCTCTTTCTATACATGCCACTCCCTCTCTCTCCCACTCTCTTCCTCTCTGTCGGCCCTCCTATCTGCACCGTGCTAAAAGCATCCATCCAGCACTTTGGATGCACTTTGAGACCCAGCCATCAAATGCAACAAAAATAATAGAAAACGTCGAAGCTGTTGAGCCGCCAGGAAGTGGAAGAAGAAGTACCCTCCCTACACACTCAAATTCTAGAAGGGATATATACTAGATGTAGACTCCCCCGGAGGGGGATGTACTGTGTAGATTGTAATCCCAGCTAGTCGCGTTGCCATAATTAATATTTAATTGAACAGACTTCAAGTACATTCAGAAGCATTTCGAATTGTATGAATATTTTTGTTTGCCATTAAATGAATAATAGTTTTTCCCAATAACATTTTGCCGCTTTTAATAAACCGGATAACCTTTTGGAACACCCGCCTAACAATTTACACCTTGTTAACAAAAACGGAATGGAATTGAATTAAAAATCAAATCAAATCGAATCGAATCGAATCGAATGAAATGCATGTGTGACATTGTTCCGGATCTGTTTCGATGCAACCGATGGGGGTGTACGTGTACATTCGCCTTCTCCCACTCCCACTTCCACTCCCACTCCCCCACTGCTTGCTGTTTGATCTTCTATGTGTTTCATCAGAGTTTATTTGTTTGTTTTGCTTTGGGTTTTGTTTAGGTTTTGTGCCCAAAACCAAAACCAAAACCAAAACCAAAACTGACCCGCACAAGAGAGGAATGCGTATACAAGAAAAGCCAATATCTTCGATTGGTAGAGCGAAAACGAAAAATTCGAAAGGCGAAAACAATTAAAAAACCATAAACAACGGAAAACAAATGCTGGAATGGGATCTGTACTATACAGAGAGAGAGATCTGGAATGGAATGGAAGATGGAGCGCGTTGTTTATTTAATTGAGGCTAAAAAACAGAAATAACGATGGTACGGAGGAGGGATGGATGGAGTCCCACAAGCGGTATGCAAAAGAGGTCAGGACATAATATTTATTGCGTATTTCTTCTACGAAGAGCCTGGTAGAGCTAGGTCTGAAATCTCCTCCTCTGGTTAATACCAACCAAATATTTCCACAACTTTTCTGAGGCAAAAAGTATTATCTGTTGACACGTGCACGCGCCGCGTTTTTTGTGCGCGTTTTTAAACGCCACCTTATTTGGACTTTTTTCTCGAGCTGTTTTTTTTTGGTGGTTGAAGAAATAAATGTGTGTGTGTGTGTGTGTGTGCGTCAGATCGGAGTGACAGGGTGCGAAAGAGAGGGGTGTACAGTGTACGCCATGTATGTATTTAGATGTAGATGCGATCGATTGACGATCGTTTGAGGCGATCAAACCCGCTGCCAAAGCTGACCAATTTTAGAATCTTCTCCGATTCCACTTCCACTTCAAATCGCACAAAATTCACACTCGAATTTGGGGATCGCGTAGCAAGGGGGGGCAAAAAAGGGCAGCGCTGCGTGGGAGTGGACGCTGCCATCGATCAACCATGAACTCGGCCGTTCCTCTGCCTCTCCCTGCCCCCCTGTCCATCGGGTTTAACCTTTTAAAGTTCAGTTCCACACAACACTGGACAGTTTTTCTGTCTACCTATTGGAGAGAGAGAGGGTATGATGTGATGAATGGCAGCAGAATATGATTCAATGAAACTCCCTTTGATTTCAACAATAATACGGTTTTTATTTCTTTTAATTAATAATTATTGTTTAGTACAATTTTAATTGCAACTTTTATTTAAAAATAATTAAAAGAAAATAATTAAAAAAAAAAAAATAATAGTTTTAAAAAAAATAATCTAAAAAAATTAATTTAAAAAGAAATAATTTAAAAAAAATTAATAAAGCAATAATTAAAAAAAAATAATTTAAAAAATAATAATTTAAAACTAAAAACAAAACAAAAAATAAAAATAAGCCAATACAAAAATATATATGTATGTATATTGAAAACACTTTCTTTAAAGAAATTTCAATTCGCCAAAACTAATCTTAATGCATTTTTCTTTTAAAATTAAAAAAAAAATATAAAATAAAATAAAATAAAGCAATAAAATTACGGTTATAAAAATGAGCCAAAATTGATTCGTTTATCGTTTAAAATTAGTTTTCTTTGGAAAATCGCTATTAAAAAACAGTAAAATGAAAAGTTTTTTTTTCTAATGTTTAAATTGAAATTTCGGGTCCTGTTTTGCCTCCAGGGTATCAACTATTTCAGCCCGTCTTCCCTGCTCCTTCTTAAATTTGTTGTTGTTTTTGGTTTTTTGTCTAAGAATTCCGGGCGCCCACGCTGCGTTGTCCCCCCCCTCGCTTGTCCCCTGCGTGGCAGGCAGCTTCGTCATCGGCTCCAACTGTAAACTGAACGAAATCCGAATCGAGTCGTGCCAAAAGCAAAAGCATTTTAACTGTCTTACGTAACGGATGAGTGGAAAGAGAGGAGCGAGCAGATAAAACAAAGAGAGCGAGAGACGGAGAGAGGGAGAGAGGGAAATAACTTTATTACGATCTGAAAAGACCTTGCCCAATTAGACAATGCGGTTGTTGCCGGTTGTTGGAGTGCAAAAATGTATATTTCATTTAAATTTATATGGTACTTAATAAGGCAGCAGAGGTACCCTTCTTGGTACCCTGTAGAGGGACGGAAGGGGGGAAAGTATGTATTTAATCCCCAAAAAATGGTTAAGTACAAGAATAAAGTAAATTCTAAGCGATGTATCCATTAGTTGTCTTTTTTGATGATATTGCTGAGTCCCCCACAGAATTCTTTTCTTATAGTAGACATCTTCTATCAGAAAAGATGGTTAAGAATAATAAATATCTAGAATAATCATTGCCATATCTAAGGTACAAAAAGTTCTGCCTCCCAACGCATCGATGGGCCCAATAGAGCCCTTTAATAGTCGAAGGATAGCCACGTCTCTCCCTCTCTCTCCCTCACTCAACAAACTATGTATCTTTGGGGAATATCTTGTGGGAATCGTGTATATCTGTGCTCTGCGCAGGCAAGTTCTTGGCAACTTTGTTGCCTCATTGCGTATGCAGATCGTGTTGCTAATTGAATCAAACGCCAAACATGAATTCATTGAAATTTGTGGTCAGACAGAGTTGACTCCGACTCCGACTCCGCACAGCACTAAGCATTTCAATTTAGTGCCAGCAACTGTAAATACCCCGTAGTCTTGGACCACGGACACAGGTTCGGGTATGCTGTGGATCCACAGAGAGTAAAATTTAAGGAGAACAGGTGTTTTTATTGGGTGATAAGGGGTATCTACTGATTGCAAACTGAATTGGGGAAAAGCAAAGGGATATTCCCTTACTCGACTCGATCACGATCACCCACAACGTCTAGAAATTGCGTGTATTTTGTTATTGGATTCTCGGTCCCGGTACTCGGTCTTTAAGAGCTAAAGAAAAAGAGTATTCAGTGAAGATTCCTTTGATATCGGCACTCAAACAAGTTACAGATTCTGCCACGCCCTCAAAAAATGACGAATATCTGTGGTATCCACAATTAAAAATGGGAAATTTGTACCAGATTGAATCAGTTTGGATCATTATTATCTCCAGAATGCTGGACTCCTGCTCTTATGGTTGCATTCTCGGTCTGAAGTCTCCAGGTCCATAAATGATGTGTATTTTGTCTTTGCATTCTCGGTCTGGAGTCTCCAGGTCCACAAATGATGTGTATTTTGTCTTTGCATCCTCGGTCTCGAGCCTCCGCTGCTTGTTGCCGATACTGGGTATCCCTGTAGTCGTAATGCCAGCTAAAAGCCTTTGCTACGTGTTTAATTTTATTTTATGATGCGACATCAAGATAATTTGTTGCTGTTGTTGTTGTGGCTGTTGCCTGGCCCAAATGCTAAACACGGCAGCCGATTTCAGTCATGAAAGAGGGGGACTACCAGAGGTGGAGCGACAGGAGCAGCAGAGTCCAAGTCACTGTTTGTTTTTGTCGTCTGTCTGCCGTCCCGCCGTCCCGCTGTCACTGTCAGGAAGGAGAGAGCTCCACAGAGAAGCGGAGTGGACAGTGACAGACGCAGTGCCAGAGCAGGAGCAGGAGCTGGGACTGGGAATGGAGCTGGAGCTGGCAAAGGGGATAAATATATGTGTGTGTGTGTGTGTGTGTGTGTGGGAGGGGTGGGGAATGAACGCCAGGCAATTAGAAAACCAGTCCAGCGAGAGCGACGACAGCCGAGCGCTTCTCATTATTGATGGGGTTCCCAAGAAGACCGGGAATATTGGCTAAGACACTGAGGACACAACAGGGCTTCAAAAGAGTGAATTGCGTGGAGTCTCCTGAACCAGGTGGAGGCCCTAGTTGTGGCAGAGTATCCAGTCCTCGCCCTTTCCATTCCCATTCCCATTCCATTGGACTTCTTTGCGATGCTTGCGTGATGCGTTGTCGGGGCCGTCTTTGGCAGGAGGAGTGGCCGAGAAGCAGAAGCAGCTGGTCAACTATTTGGTATGCCAGAGTTGTCGCCAATGTTGGTTGTTCGTTGCCCGCCTGCCCGCCTGCCCGCCTGCCCGCCTGTGTGTGTGTGTGTGCTTTAGTTGTTGCCGGAAGTGCAATTGCTTCATTACGGCACGTACTTTGTCAAAAGGCGTTTGGCGTTGAGTCATTTTATTTGATTTCTGGCGGGGATCCAGAGCTCTTCCAACTTGTGAATGAACGAGTGAGTGAATGAATGAATGAAAATTATCTGTGGTTCACGCCATGTGTGGGCTGTACTCAAGAATGGAAACCACATGCTAATCTTTGTTTGGTTTCTTTCTGTTTTTTTTTTGTTTTGCAGGGGCAAATTCGCCGCCGTTCGCCGTGCCATTCACAAGAACACGGGCTCCCATTTCGCGGCAAAGTTCCTGAAGCGACGCCGACGCGCACAGAGCAGCGACAAGGAGATCAAACACGAGATCGCCGTCCTAATACTCTGCGAGGGCGAGGACAACATTGTCAATCTGAATGCGGTGCACGAGACCCGTTCGGACACAGCCCTGCTGCTGGAACTGTAAGTGAACCCGCCCCCCCTTGTGGTCCCTTCCCCCAATTGAATGCATCCTTCTCTTGTTGCAGGGCCACTGGTGGCGAGCTACAGACCATACTGGACAACGAGGAGTGCCTGACAGAGGCCCAGGCCCGCCACTGCATGCGAGAGGTGCTGAAGGCTCTCAAGTTTCTCCACGACCGATCCATTGCCCACCTGGACCTCAAGCCACAGAACATTTTGCTCGCCGGCGAGCGTATAGAAGGTGAGTTCCAGTCCCAGTCCGAGTACCAGTCCTAACCGCTTTGCTCTCCCCCGTAGATGGCCTCAAGCTCTGTGACTTTGGGATCTCGCGCGTTGTGTGCGAGGGCATCAATGTCCGCGAGATGGCCGGCACACCCGACTACGTGGCCCCCGAGGTGCTCCAGTACGAGCCGCTCTCCCTGCTGACGGACATCTGGTCCGTGGGCGTTCTCACCTATGTCTTGCTCTCCGGCTTCTCGCCCTTTGGCGGGGACACCAAGCAGGAGACCTTCCTCAATATCTCGCAGTGTGCGCTCACCTTTCCGGACAACCTATTCGGCGGCGTCTCGCCAGTGGCCATCGATTTCATACGCCGCGCATTGCGAATTAAGCCAAAGTGAGTGCAAAACGTGGCATGGAGTAGCCTCTGGGGGAAGTTTCAATGTTTTATTGTTTGTTTTTGTTTCTTCAGCGATCGCATGAGTGCCGCCGGGTGCCTGGAACATGTCTGGCTGAAGGATGAGAGCTCGATGGATAGACAAATGTATCTGCAGGCTCAGAGCGATGCCGAAGAGGAGGAGGAGGAGGAGGAGGAGGAAGACGACCTTGAGGATGAGGAAGTTGAGCAGCCAGTGGCCGAGGAGAAGGCAGAGGAGCAGGAACAGCATCAGCATCAGCAGTCACAGGAACAACAAAAGCAACAGAAGCCCAGCAGTGGCAGCAACAAACCCACGCACAATGGCCACCATCGGGCCCACAGCAATGGGAGCAGTAGCAGCATCTCAAAGATACCCATTGCCACCGGGAAGCTCCTGGGAAGCCCCATAAGCAGCACCAGCACCAGCAACAGCACAGAGACAACGACAGCCATACACACGCTGACCAGCAATGGACACGGACAGAGCAACACGGTCTGCCTGTCCGCCAAGCCCACTCAGATCGTGACACCCACACGTCGAGCCTCCGACTCGGACAAGGAGAACACATACACGGCGACATTTGTGAAGAAGCCCCCGGTGCAGGCCACCATCCAGCTGGGTAGCAACGGCCTCGACGAGTCCGCCACAGTGGTGGCCACCCTGACACTCTTTCCCGATGCGCCCACCACACCGAAGGTGATCCGCAAGACACCCACGGGAGAGTCGCATGGATCGGCCACCTCGGTGAAGGCTCTGGTCAAGAAGTTTCAGCTGGAGGAGACGCTAGTCTGCCCCGGACACAGCAGCACCAGCAGCCACAACGGCCACAGTCCCGTCAACGGGTGCGGCGGCAGTAGCGGGAGCAGCAACGGCAACGGCAACAATATGCGACGCAGTGCAGGAGGAAACAGCAGCAACATCAGCTACTCGGCAGCAGCCGCGACAGCAGCTCGAATGAACAGCATTCGCCGCGCCTCCGACCCGCTGATGGCCGTCTATAAGAAGCAGCCACAGAACAGCAGCGCCAACAGCAATAGTTCCAACAGCAACAGCAACAATCCCAGCCCCGGCAGCAGTCCCAGCTCGGGCAGCACGGCCACCCTGCTCCTGAACAGCCATCGCCTGGCGTCCGCGTCCGCGTCCGGGCCAGCCAGCACGGTCGCCAGCACCGCTGTAGCCTCAAGCAGCAGCACCAAAGCTACTGCCACTGCCCACCATCTGCACCACCACCACATGCACCACCACCACCATCACCATCACCACGTGGTGATCGCCGCAAAGAACGCCGCTGCCGTGGCCGCCACCAACAACCTGAGCCTGGACCAGGGTATCATCTGTTAGCTAAGGGCCAGCCGTGCGAGCCGCAATGCCAAAAGTTTCTTTCATCGCCTCCTCTGCTGCATGTAACAGAGCCCGACCCGGCCCGGATCCCCCCAGTTGTCACCCAGTCCCAGAGGGCAGCGAAGCAGCAGCTCTCCTAGCCGCTGGTCTACTAGGAAAGAGTGCCACCGCCAGCCCACTGGGCGATCGCATTGGATAGCCAATGGTGATGGCAATGGCAATGGCAATGGTTTTGGGATCAGGTGCTGCAGCGGAAGATGGCGATGGGTAGGGAGCAGGAGCCGGAGATGGAAATGGAGATGGAGATGGAGAGAGGAACAGCTGGATCATCAGGAGGATGCATTGATTTGATTTGAGTTCGTCTTAGTAAATGTTTATTGCCTTAGCGTCTAAGGAGAGGAAAGGAAAGCCCCCTCCCCAGCCCCCCTTCTAAGTTAGTACTAGTATACCCGACCCCCCCCCTCACCATCTACATGCACACACACACACACACACACACAGAGACAGGAAGGAGAAAGTGGAAAATGGGAATCCAGGATGGAGGATGATGGATGATGGATGTAGCTAAATCTAAACGAGTTTTATATAGTCTAAATCGAGTTGGCAGCTCTGCGGCCGCATTGGCAAAACAAAACAAAACAAAAGAATGAATTAAGAAACGAAAGAGATCTACGGTAGTGCAGAAAAGAATATAGAGAGAACGAGAGAAAGGGGAGACGTTTTAGTGGAGTAAGAAAAACGATTTCAACGGAATTTTGGTAGACATATCATTCATGTTTGTTACACATATACATAGATGCGTGTCCGGTGAAACGAGAAGGAACACGGAACGGAACGGAATGGAAATCCATTGTTTCAACGAACATTAACGCAAATGTCAATTAGGGCGTTCCGGCATAGCATAAATTATACAATTATACGTTATATGCGTTATATATATATATATATATATATACATACAAGAAGAATACATAAACCTATATATAACATAATATACTATGTACCAAAAAGATAGATTCATTTTTAATGCTATAACAAAAACAAAAACAAAAACAAAACGAAACGAAATTTGTTGCAAATATCACACGTATTAACGTATCAGCCAATCAAGCAATCAATCAATCATATAGACGTGTTGTTCGATTAAAGGAAATTTTAGAGAATGTTAAAAGCCAAGCAAAATTGTTAATTGTGTGTCTGTGTGTGTTCGTTCGTTCGTTCGTTCAAATCGTTAAAGTCGTTTGATAAATGTTGCTAAAATACATACATATAATACATAATACATATTGCATAGAAAGCCCCCATATATAACGTTAATATGTCTGCCCATCCGGAGAGAGAGAGAACATTTAATGCTTATATTATGTATGTATCTAGGTCTAGCTCTATTCCTATTCCTATCTCTAGCCCCCGCTTCCCACTCGTTTCGTTTCCCCCCCCATACCCACACCCACACCCACATCCACATCCACATTCACACCCATTTCCACTGTTTTCCTTATGTTGAGTCGGTTTTTGTATATATTTCCCAGCAATCAGAATCAGAATTTGCTGTGTACCTTACATGTAATTCTTCTATTTTTTTTTTTTTTAATAGTATCTTAGAGCTTCATACGAGTTGTATTTATTAGGCAAAACGTTTTGTGTGGTCGACGGATGAGGATGAGGACAAGGATGGTCAGTTAATTGTTAAAGAGAAATGCTTAATTTATCGTCACTGATTACCCTACCCTCTTTTATACTTAATAATTGTGTGTACTTCTCTTAATTATTACTATTAAATATATACGTTCTTTTTTTTTTAAACTTAAACCCCTGTTTTTGTGTTTACTGTACATGTACGCGAGTAGTGGCGAACAGGCGCGAAAGCAGCCCCCACACATGCATACAGATTTAAGTGAGTCCAAGCGGATGAAACGATGCGAAAATTGTGTTTTAATTTCTAGTAATTTCAAATGATTTTTTTGTATCTGCGGTGAGGAGAACACGAAACAAAGATGCAAATTCTATTATACATGTATTCTATTACATAGTAATTATTTTATAGATAACTAATTTAAAGTATATTCAATAAAAACCATATAAAAATTCAACTCTTTCTGCCTTTGCATTCAAACACAGCTTCTTAAGAGACTTACACATCAGCTCTCAGCATTTTCACAGAGCAGGACATCTGCCATTAGGGAGATGATTGCTCAAGAAGTGCTTCCGTTCCAGTAAATTCACTTCACGTAATATTTATAACCGGTATTCGAATAATATGGGCGTATATTTTTGAAGATATATCGTGATTTTGGAAGGCCTACTATGCGATTACTGTTCAGTCGGAATCATATCCCACAGCTTCCCAAAGAAATATTTGTATACACCAGATTACAATCGATGCAGTCCTCTAGGTCTTCCTCTTCGAACCATTTGTAGTTTGTAATCTCCATTACTCCGTAGGCTGTAACAAACGTAGGTCTTTAGGCTCCACGTCAGGCCTGTAAGGCGCACTACCCATTGATTCGATGATTTATATCTGAGGGCTGATGCGTCGTAATAAAGTAGGTCCATGGTTCCGTAAGGTTTTCCAAAAATCGAGCCCCCTACATAAAAACAAGCGAAAATTTAGTTCGTGGCAAAGCCCTGGCTAAGGGTCCTCTGATCTGTGTATAGTGGCAAACAGTAGGCCAGCCGTCGAACAAAAGCAGCTGTCACGAGCAGCTACGGGACTTTAACGTGAAATCATTCAGTCTACTCCCTGAGATCGTCAGGAACACATCTAAATATTTCAAAATTCTAAATTCTAAATTCCAAATTCCAAATATTAAAATTTTTCAAATTTTCGTCAGTTACTTTCAAGTTAATTTCGAAGCAATAGTGGACAAGTGTTAGGGGGGTCTTACACAATACGACCGCCTAGTGATGGTACCGTCCCACATCCTCCGCTTTTAGGATGTGGGAATGTGGATGGCATCACATGTCAGGTAGGAAGAATCAATAAAATCATAACAAAAATATCTCGTCAATAATTTACAGGCGTTTTACGACGATCTTTTTCAACGCATAATGAGAACTTCTGTTACACACTTAACATACACGGATAACATAAATTTCAACACCTGTATCGGTGAGTGCCTAGATAGCTGTAATACCAGGTGTAGATTATTAGCTTATGTTATTCTTACAGGAAATGTTTGATACAACCCACGCATTGAGGATTTGGGGGCCTGAGGATCGCAATACTTTTCCCTGATAGTCGTGCAGGTAAGAGTCAAATATGTTTGCTTCATTAATAGATTATTGATTCTGTTTTCCTCTTACAGATATATCTTGATACTATTATTGGGCCAAATGGTACCGTACTGTAACTGTTCTGTTTTTTATTAAATAATATTAAAAATGGTGCGTACAACATGTTGCTGAATGTTATTCATGGGTTTGGGTGGGGCTGGTAAGGTTGAACTGGAAGAAGGCTGCGGAGCGCAGATGTCTGAGATCCGAATGGTCCGTCATCGGAAATTCGAATTGAATGTGGCGTATATTAAATTCGTTTATAAGTAAGAGCCCAAAAGAATCGTTTCCGGCCCCATAAATTATATATATTCTAGATCAGCATCAATAGCCGAGTCTATATAGACAAGTCCTTGTGTCAGAGATCTTTAACTGCTAGTTTTTAGAGACTACGGGCTAGAGCAAATTTTGAAAAACTCTTGAATGTTCTGCTGTCTTTTGTCGCGAATGATGGTGTTATCCGGCACCGATGTGTGTGCCTCCAGGATTTCCCTCAGTATTGTTCTCTGGCAGGAATCCATTAGGTTGATGGATCTATCTCCCAGCCCACTGCCACTAAGTATGCCATGGATGGCAAAAGGCCAGCTTCGATATAATCGATAGATGAAATCCGAAACAACGCCCATGACAATTTAATCAAAATATGTCAGCCTAATAGTTTAGGCTTATCGTCGAACCCATCGGGCCAGTTAGTTACAGATAATTTCACTGATGCATCTTCCGCATCCTTCTAGTCCTTGGTCCAGACGTGGGGTACGGTTTCGTACTGTTTCAAGCGTTCGTTGTACTGTCCAAAGAAGAAGGCCTCCGTCTGATACAGCTTGAAGAGATAATAGAAACCCTCGTGGACGTACTTGTTGTTCCAGGTCCAAATGCAATGATTCGGGAAGAACATGACAATGCGGTGTCTCCCGCGCTCATCAAAATCGCAGGACTGATGTATTGTATTAAAGTCGTAGGGGGTATCTTGCTGAAAAATATCTCTCTTCTTACGAACGATGTGCTTCAAAACAGTTGTTGCTGGCTGACGCTGACGCTGGTGCTGACCTTGTGCACTTTTGCTTGATCCCAGCTTGGAGTTGATGGAGTTGCTAGAGTTGCTAGAGTTACTAGAGTTGCTGGAGTTGCTAGAGTTACTAGAGTTGCTAGAGTTGCTGGAGTTACTAGAGTTGCTGGAGTGGACCACCTCACCCATGGCCGTGGCCATTGGGACTGTCTGACCTTGGGTACTTTCAGTTTCGTTTGACTCCTGCATCCCACCAAGGTCGGGGGCCTTCTGGAACTCCTCTGTTGGTGTAAAAGTTTTTGCATTTCCGCTCGACTGTCAATATACCGAAAATGAATCGAGACGATATCAGGAGGTGAGGTTGAGGCACTTACTACGGCGAGGAGAGCGGCTAACAGGCAATTTATTTGCAACTTCATCATGTATCGAAAGCAGTCCAAGCATCTAAAAGCTACTTAATTGGTATTCCTGCCTAGCACGGAAAATTTTATTCGGTTTAAATACGCTGAGCAATCGTACAACAATAATCGTAATAATGATTTATTTTAAATACGGTTACAGACAAGTAAGTCAAAAGCATGCAGATATATGTTGTATACCCGGTAATCACAGGGTACTATGAAAGTTTTAAAGCTTACTGCTTTGATACTATTTGAGCTGGCTACTACGAAACTCTTTAAGCTGTCTTCAAAGTAGCTTCCAGAGCTGTCTGTTAAGTAACCATCAACGCTGGATGCTATATAACTACTAGTATCACATCTGGATTTTAAGTAGCTATCAAAGCTGTCTGCTATGGAGCTTTTAGAGCTTACTAACTCTTAAAGCTGTCTTCCTTGTCATGAAAGCTGGATTCTCTGTAACTTCTCTGCTATTAAACCATCTGCGCTGGATGCTTTTTAACTGATTATGCTGGAAGCGGCCCTCCTTATCTTTGCATTGTGTTCTTCAGCTGAGAGACGCCGGCTTTGTTTTTATTGCAACCCTACTGCCAGCGTTTTGCATAATTATCCCACTGTGCACGCAACTCTAGTGAAGGCCGAAAGGTTTTCGCCCCATTGTACTTCAGACCAAGAAACTCATAAAGTAGGCCTTGACTTCTGTCGAATTCCTGCCGTTTTCGAAGTACCGGAAAAACTTAGACAAAAATTCATTACGTTTTAGTTTGTCGTACGGATTGTTTCTTTTTTGTGAGAGCTCGTCGGAAAAAAACAATTTGTGAGAAAAGGGAAAAAAGTTCGTAGAACGCGAAAATGGTTTCCGCTACCGCCTCCGGTCAGTGCGTGGTCGTGAAGGAGGAGCTGCCGGCAGGCAACTACATCCTGGTTGCCGTTGAGATAGATACCACTGGACGTCGTCTGATTGATGAGGTATTCATTGATTGTTGGTCGTTGCTTCGGACATAACCCAATTTTTCTCCGCGTCTCTCCGCCTCGCGTCTGCCCTTTTTCCAGATTGTCCAGTTGGCTGGCTACACGTCAAAGGGCAACTTCCAGCAGTACATCATGCCGTATATGAATCTGAATCAAGCCGCTCGTCAGCGTCATCAAATTCGTGTGATTTCGATCGGTTTCTATCGCATGCTAAAGTCGATGCAGACCTACAAGGTACATACCCACACTCCCGATATGCGCTAATTCGAACTTATTTTTCGCAGATTATCAAGTCCAAGTCGGAGGTCGCTGCCCTCATGGACTTTCTCAACTGGCTTGAGACGCTGCTCGCCAAGCAGCCCAACAAAGAAGGCATCGTTATGCTCTACCACGATGATCGCAAATTCATACCCTACATGATTTTGGAGGCGCTCAAGAAGTACTCCCTGATTGATAGATTCAATCGGACGGTGAAGGCTTTTGCCAACACTTGTCCTATGGCCAAGACCTTCCTTGGCAAACATGGTATCAAGAACTGTGGCCTACGCAAGCTCTCGATGCTCTTGGCCAAGTCGAAGGATGGGAATTCCACCAAGGAGGATGAACACGAGAATGCCGAAGGAATCTCCAGCATCACCGATAACAGCGGCCCCAAGAATCAGAAGCAGGGCGCCTTTGAGGGGAGCGCCAATGTGCGGGCCAAGATGGTCTACGAAATGGCCCTTCAGTTGACTGAATCCGAGTCAACTGAGTCCCCCGAGTCGTTCGAGTCACCCGAATCGTCCGAGTCCTCGGAGGCAGAGGTTAAGTTGTTGAATGCCGTGAGACCATTCTCCCAACTTCTCAGCTCGATGGTCCTCGAGCTGAAAGACCAGAACCATAGCCTGGGCCGCCAAAACTCATTCCGTCCAGTCTTCTTGAACTATTTCCGCACCACTCTCAACTATCGTGTCCGTGCCGTAAAGTACCGCATTGCGCTGGCCGAACATGGCTTTACCCTGAAGTCTTTAAAGGCCATTTGGTCTGATAAGCGCAAGCCGGGCTTGGAGCTGGTTTTGACAGCGATTGATTCGCTGAAGACCGAGGAAACGGCCGAGCTGCTGGACCTTCTGGACAGCTACTACGACCCCAGCAAAACGACCATCAAGCCGAGATGCAAGCGCTCTGGCAATGGCACTCGTCGTCGCAATCGGGCCAAAGGTGCAGCATCGTCGAAAAATGGAGCCATCGGCGCTGGTGGCGACAACTCCGTGCCGGACTCCGCCACCAAGCCGGGCGGACGTCCTCGTCGCAAACGCAACAACATTCGGAACAACATTCTGGGACCCCAGAACACTGAGAAAGGCTCACCAAAGGCGGAAATGAAGACCTCGACCCCGAAGTCTACAAATCCGCCAAAGGCGTTTGCTGACATCTAAAGCTCCAATGCAAGCTACAATGCAAGTAAATAAGTTTCACTTCTTGTTTTTTTGCTTAACTTTTCGCTGGTACTGCTTTGCCATCCCAAGCCGGGATTACCTTCTCGGGCATATCGTAGATTGTTGGTTTGTTTCATTGCCTATGCTTGTATTATGCAGGATCTTTCAGTATAAGATGCCAATGCTTGCTTTTCTTTCAATATTCTGCTATATGGATTCTTAAGCAAATTTTAAAATTGCAGCCAACACAGAAACAGACACTGACACCCCATTAAATAGAAGACAAGGATGAAGAATGGAACTTAGGGCAAACCCAAGCACAGACTAGAAACCATGTCAAAATTTTAAATGTAATCAAAACACATGCACATCAAGACCAAGAAACCAATGTTGGTGCTGCTGTCGCAAGTGCTGATGCTGGCTGGCGAGAAATATCAACACACTGGAGCACTTAGCATGAAGATTTAATTGCCAAGATGGTGGACAAATCGATGCGTTTAGGCATAGTTTTCCAAAACATACGATACACAACTGTACACTCAAAGGGCGATTGGAAAAATATGATCCCAACAAACGCATCGATTTCAGATTGGCATTGGGCAGGCCGACACACTAAACACACTAACTAATCCCCAAGCAACCCTGGCCCAATGTGTCAAATTCCACCTTAATGCTCAAGTACACCTACAAAAAACAACACACTCTTCTGTAAACACACGAATACATACATATACCACCTGTAACATGTCAAAATATCTCAAGGTGTGCTTCATTGTTTGAAAGTTATGTATGAATAAATGATTAATTATAAAAAAAATAAATATATTTATCACGTGCAACGCAATCGATAAGCGATCGACTAATCGATATTATAATTACACCGAGGATTTATTGTCAAAATCATTGCACAAAGAGTCGTTATGCATAATTACGTAATAAAATACACAAACACAAATACATTTAAATGGAGATGATAGTGGTTTCTTCAAATGCGACCAAACAAAAATAAAAAAAAAAACAAGCAAACAGTATTCTAAACTTTTTCAATAAATCGATTGTTGAACAAATTGTATTATTATTACTGTATTAACCGGTGACTATCACTTGCGAAAAAGTAGAGATATATGTATGGAAAAGTTGCCCTTTTTTGGGTTTTTTTTGGAAAATTGTTTGTGCTGCTCATCTGGCCTGGAGACGCACACGAAAGCCCTCCTCACGCTTCAGTATGATATCCGCCTGGAGCTTGAAGTCCGACTCACTGAGGTCCGAGTAGACGCGATAGTTCCGCAATATAGTCGAGAGTAGAATTTTGAGCTTGAGCATGGCATACTTGCGCCCTTAATGGGGAAATCGAAATGAGAGAGAAGATTAGTTCGGGTTGTGGCAGGAAAGTCCATACAAAGGCTGGGATGTCTATCGATAATTATCGATCGATTTTTGATTTTTGAGCAGCGTCCCAGCATATCAGCAGTACTTACCCACACAGCTGCGTGGTCCCGCGGAGAAGGGGACAAAGGCATAGTAATGTCGGTTGGCCTGACGCTCGGACAGAAAGTTGTCCGGATCGAAGACATTGGGATTGGTGTAGACCTTGGGATTGCGATGCAACAGAACAGTGGCCACCGTCACCGTGGCTCCGCGCGGTATAACGTAGTCGCCAGAGTTCAACTTCAGATCCTCCTGCAACTCGCGGGCGATCAGCGGCACTGGGGGGTACATGCGCAGCGTTTCCATCAGGCAGCGCTCCAGGTATTTCATTTCTAGCGTGTCCTGGAACGTGGCCGGGCGCTGGGAGTCCCCGAAGATGCCGTCCAGCTCGGCAATCACGCGGTCCTGGATTTCCTGGTGTATGCCCATCAGTGAGAGGAAGAAGGACGAGCCGGCTGCGGTGGTGTCATGGCCCTCGAACATAATCGTATCCACCTGCTCCTTGATCTCCGTGTCCGTGATGAGGGCTCCGTTCTGGGCGCTCTCCAGCATCAGGTCGAGGAAGGCCAGTCGCTTCTTCTCCCCAATGTCGTTGTCCTCCACGTCTAGGTCGTCCTTGAGGCCCGCGGACTGGCCGTAGGAGAGCCCAGCGACAGGTGTGCCCTCGACAGCAGCCTTCCCCCCGCCTGCTGAGCCCATCTCCGCCTGTTCCTGCTTCTGTTCCTGTTTCTGTTCCTGTCCGCGCTCTCTCTCTAGGGCGGCCGCCTTGAGCTCGCACTGGGCCAGAGATCCTCGAGTGCCCTGCTCGAAGTGAAGGCCGAAAGGTTTTCGACCCATTGTACTTAATACCAAGAAACTCATAAAGTAGGCCTTGACTTCTGTCAAACTCCTGCCGTTTTCGAAGTACCGGAAAAACTTAGACAAAAATTCATTACGTTTTAGTTTGTCGTACGGATTGTTTCTTTTTTGTGAGAGCTCGTCGGAAAAAAACAATTTGTGAGAAAAGGGAAAAAAGTTCGTAGAACGCGAAAATGGTTTCCGCCATTTCTGAAGATAGTGTTTCCGCTTCCGCCTCCGGTCAGTGCGTGGTCGTGAAGGAGGAGCTGCCGGCAGGCAACTACATCCTGGTTGCCGTTGAGATAGATACCACTGGACGTCGTCTGATTGATGAGGTATTCATTGATTGTTGGTCGTTGCTTCGGACATAACCCAATTTTTCTCCGCGTCTCTCCGCCTCGCGTCTGCCCTTTTTCCAGATTGTCCAGTTGGCTGGCTACACGTCAAAGGGCAACTTCCAGCAGTACATCATGCCGTATATGAATCTGAATCAAGCCGCTCGTCAGCGTCATCAAATTCGTGTGATTTCGATCGGTTTCTATCGCATGCTAAAGTCGATGCAGACCTACAAGGTACATACCCACACTCCCGATATGCGCTAATTCGAACTTATTTTTCGCAGATTATCAAGTCCAAGTCGGAGGTCGCTGCCCTCATGGACTTTCTCAACTGGCTTGAGACGCTGCTCGCCAAGCAGCCCAACAAAGAAGGCATCGTTATGCTCTACCACGATGATCGCAAATTCATACCCTACATGATTTTGGAGGCGCTCAAGAAGTACTCCCTGATTGATAGATTCAATCGGACGGTGAAGGCTTTTGCCAACACTTGTCCTATGGCCAAGACCTTCCTTGGCAAACATGGTATCAAGAACTGTGGCCTACGCAAGCTCTCGATGCTCTTGGCCAAGTCGAAGGATGGGAATTCCACCAAGGAGGATGAACACGAGAATGCCGAAGGAAACTCCAGCATCACCGATAACAGCGGCCCCAAGAATCAGAAGCAGGGCGCCTTTGAGGGGAGCGCCAATGTGCGGGCCAAGATGGTCTACGAAATGGCCCTTCAGTTGACTGAATCCGAGTCAACTGAGTCCCCCGAGTCGTTCGAGTCACCCGAATCGTCCGAGTCCTCGGAGGCAGAGGTTAAGTTGTTGAATGCCGTGAGACCATTCTCCCAACTTCTCAGCTCGATGGTCCTCGAGCTGAAAGACCAGAACCATAGCCTGGGCCGCCAAAACTCATTCCGTCCAGTCTTCTTGAACTATTTCCGCACCACTCTCAACTATCGTGTCCGTGCCGTAAAGTACCGCATTGCGCTGGCCGAACATGGCTTTACCCTGAAGTCTTTAAAGGCCATTTGGTCTGATAAGCGCAAGCCGGGCTTGGAGCTGGTTTTGACAGCGATTGATTCGCTGAAGACCGAGGAAACGGCCGAGCTGCTGGACCTTCTGGACAGCTACTACGACCCCAGCAAAACGACCATCAAGCCGAGATGCAAGCGCTCTGGCAATGGCACTCGTCGTCGCAATCGGGCCAAAGGTGCAGCATCGTCGAAAAATGGAGCCATCGGCGCTGGTGGCGACAACTCCGTGCCGGACTCCGCCACCAAGCCGGGCGGACGTCCTCGTCGCAAACGCAACAACATTCGGAACAACATTCTGGGACCCCAGAACACTGAGAAAGGCTCACCAAAGGCGGAAATGAAGACCTCGACCCCGAAGTCTACAAATCCGCCAAAGGCGTTTGCTGACATCTAAAGCTCCAATGCAAGCTACAATGCAAGTAAATAAGTTTCACTTCTTGTTTTTTTGCTTAACTTTTCGCTGGTACTGCTTTGCCATCCCAAGCCGGGATTACCTTCTCGGGCATATCGTAGATTGTTGGTTTGTTTCATTGCCTATGCTTGTATTATGCAGGATCTTTCAGTATAAGATGCCAATGCTTGCTTTTCTTTCAATATTCTGCTATATGGATTCTTAAGCAAATTTTAAAATTGCAGCCAACACAGAAACAGACACTGACACCCCATTAAATAGAAGACAAGGATGAAGAATGGAACTTAGGGCAAACCCAAGCACAGACTAGAAACCATGTCAAAATTTTAAATGTAATCAAAACACATGCACATCAAGACCAAGAAACCAATGTTGGTGCTGCTGTCGCAAGTGCTGATGCTGGCTGGCGAGAAATATCAACACACTGGAGCACTTAGCATGAAGATTTAATTGCCAAGATGGTGGACAAATCGATGCGTTTAGGCATAGTTTTCCAAAACATACGATACACAACTGTACACTCAAAGGGCGATTGGAAAAATATGATCCCAACAAACGCATCGATTTCAGATTGGCATTGGGCAGGCCGACACACTAAACACACTAACTAATCCCCAAGCAACCCTGGCCCAATGTGTCAAATTCCACCTTAATGCTCAAGTACACCTACAAAAAACAACACACTCTTCTGTAAACACACGAATACATACATATACCACCTGTAACATGTCAAAATATCTCAAGGTGTGCTTCATTGTTTGAAAGTTATGTATGAATAAATGATTAATTATAAAAAAAATAAATATATTTATCACGTGCAACGCAATCGATAAGCGATCGACTAATCGATATTATAATTACACCGAGGATTTATTGTCAAAATCATTGCACAAAGAGTCGTTATGCATAATTACGTAATAAAATACACAAACACAAATACATTTAAATGGAGATGATAGTGGTTTCTTCAAATGCGACCAAACAAAAATAAAAAAAAAAACAAGCAAACAGTATTCTAAACTTTTTCAATAAATCGATTGTTGAACAAATTGTATTATTATTACTGTATTAACCGGTGACTATCACTTGCGAAAAAGTAGAGATATATGTATGGAAAAGTTGCCCTTTTTTGGGTTTTTTTTGGAAAATTGTTTGTGCTGCTCATCTGGCCTGGAGACGCACACGAAAGCCCTCCTCACGCTTCAGTATGATATCCGCCTGGAGCTTGAAGTCCGACTCACTGAGGTCCGAGTAGACGCGATAGTTCCGCAATATAGTCGAGAGTAGAATTTTGAGCTTGAGCATGGCATACTTGCGCCCTTAATGGGGAAATCGAAATGAGAGAGAAGATTAGTTCGGGTTGTGGCAGGAAAGTCCATACAAAGGCTGGGATGTCTATCGATAATTATCGATCGATTTTTGATTTTTGAGCAGCGTCCCAGCATATCAGCAGTACTTACCCACACAGCTGCGTGGTCCCGCGGAGAAGGGGACAAAGGCATAGTAATGTCGGTTGGCCTGACGCTCGGACAGAAAGTTGTCCGGATCGAAGACATTGGGATTGGTGTAGACCTTGGGATTGCGATGCAACAGAACAGTGGCCACCGTCACCGTGGCTCCGCGCGGTATAACGTAGTCGCCAGAGTTCAACTTCAGATCCTCCTGCAACTCGCGGGCGATCAGCGGCACTGGGGGGTACATGCGCAGCGTTTCCATCAGGCAGCGCTCCAGGTATTTCATTTCTAGCGTGTCCTGGAACGTGGCCGGGCGCTGGGAGTCCCCGAAGATGCCGTCCAGCTCGGCAATCACGCGGTCCTGGATTTCCTGGTGTATGCCCATCAGTGAGAGGAAGAAGGACGAGCCGGCTGCGGTGGTGTCATGGCCCTCGAACATAATCGTATCCACCTGCTCCTTGATCTCCGTGTCCGTGATGAGGGCTCCGTTCTGGGCGCTCTCCAGCATCAGGTCGAGGAAGGCCAGTCGCTTCTTCTCCCCAATGTCGTTGTCCTCCACGTCTAGGTCGTCCTTGAGGCCCGCGGACTGGCCGTAGGAGAGCCCAGCGACAGGTGTGCCCTCGACAGCAGCCTTCCCCCCGCCTGCTGAGCCCATCTCCGCCTGTTCCTGCTTCTGTTCCTGTTTCTGTTCCTGTCCGCGCTCTCTCTCTAGGGCGGCCGCCTTGAGCTCGCACTGGGCCAGAGATCCTCGAGTGCCCTGCTCGAAGGCCGCCTTCTTGCTGCGAATGACCTTGGTGGTAAGGCCATGTATAATACTGAGCAGACGCCCCTGTTCCTTGTAGTAGCGCGTCAGGGTGAAGACGAACTCGTTGCGCAGAAAGATGCTCCGGTGCCGGGCATGGAGTATATCGCACATCCGCATCACGGCCATCGCGTACTCGAATCCGGACTTGTCCTGTGTCTTCTTCGACACGCCCATGGCTGTCTCTGGAACGGGCCCAAACGGAATCGGAATTAGAATCAAATATCTGAATCAGGGTATCATTGAGCGTCTCCCACAAAGCCGCGCAGTTTCAATCCCTGTCCATGTACGGGGGAAGTGGAATGCACTCGACTGACCCAAGCGCCAATTGAACTTAACAATCACACAACAGGCGGCTGGCTGAGCCCCCACTTCTGTCCCGGCTTTCTAATTGTAAATACAATGCATAAATAGATCTATAACTGGGGGCGCAGGCACATGCTCCATCCGAGTGTAGAGTAGAATTCCGCATGGAATTTGATTCTATTCGAACACTCCCACATTATCATTGATACTGTCGATCCACTATTTAACATATGTCGGAGGAAGAGCCTTGGGTCCATATATTTACTATAAATGGAAATGCCTTTTGATCCACTGCACTACAAGTACATTGTTTATTGTACTGATAGGTAAAACTAATTTCGAACTAATTTCGCCAAGGGAAGTACTGATTATGCAATGACATTTGGCTTTGGCTTTTCCTTCCCCATTTTTCTTCATAGCGCACAAATTTTCCCAGTTTTTCATTCAAATTATTTGTTCTGCTGTTGTTCAAGTCTTAATTGCTAATTGCCCGTTTGCGTCAGACCCCCATCAGCAGCAGCGGCAACAGGAACATCAACCTCGCCTCAGCCTCAGCCTCAGCCTCAACAGGCATATCGCAGACGGGCCGCAGTTGCATTCAAATTTTCCTGATTAAGCCGCTTAATGGCAATGCGACGTGCCTTTAATTGCTCGGCCCGTCCCAGCTCAGTAGAGGAGGAGCCCTCTCTCTCAAATCTCGGCTAGGGTTTTGGCTGCATTTCAATTGATGGGGCGAAGGTAGTGCTGCGTCTGCGTCTGCGACTGCCACTGGATTATGCAATGGCCTAGAAATCAATCCGAAATCGGTTGCAGTTTTCAGCTAATAAAGCGACAATGTCATTAACATTTGGCCGTGTATCTGCATACAGTAGCGGGCAGCAGGCCAACTGTCCCACTCTGGGTGGCAGTTTCACTTTTTTCCCAACCATGAAACGTGTCTGGCGTTAAGTCTATTGCCTGGCGATACTTTAATGATTTTCCTATAGATAGATAAATGGATGGATAGCTGCTAGGGACTGCAGGCATCTGATTGGCTCTATCGTATGGTCGGCCAAGGATGTATCAGACCCAGTCCACTCCCCATATAAATGCTTTGAGAAAATTTAAGCGAAATCCAAAATTGAATCTTGCAATAGGCTAGGACGAAGATCATAACCATTAATGTGCTCCCCACTATTCGTACACCGAAAAAGTGCTCGATTTAGATACAATAAAAGTCCGTCTACAGGGAATGAATTGGGGGAGAAATACGATAGTTTTGGAAGGTCCTGGGACCCAGGAGTTTCAGCAGTTTGGTCCAGGGCTGGAATTGGTACAATTTGGTTACGGTTTGAGTTGGATTAGGGGAGGGATCATATGTATACACCTGTCTAGTCAAATATATATATACATATATATCTTTTGTGTCCATTGTACGGAATGACAAAAGCGGTAAATGGACAACAAAAAGACATTTTTGATTTGGATTTGTGCGAGCTGTAGGAGTACAATATATAGGGAAATGGGTCTGCGCTCAATTGTGGCATATAGTACCATGTATATATCGTATGTACCTATATGTGAATGTGACATGGACACACGCATACGCATACGCATACGCATACATTGTAGAATGAGGCTGGGAATTAAATGTGTTTGAAGCGGAATTGGTTGTGTCTGAAACCGAATCGAGTGTGCGAGTGCGAGTGCGAGTGCGTGTGAGTTGACTGTACTTTTGTGTAATCACATGTCAGTGCTGGTGTGTATTTAACTTACCCAATAGAATCTCCACAGTCGCCTCACTCATGTAATCATGACAATCAAATGTGCGTCCATCCTCCGCACGCAGCTTCCGCACCACATTGCGAGAGTTCTCGTTGAACAGCTCGATGAAACTCTTCAAGACATTCAAATGGAATGTGGGTGCAATTAGTTTGCGATGCGAGCGCCATTTTTGACCTGTCAAATATGCAGTTGTATTTAGAGAGAGTGTTGGAAAAGTGTTGGGAGTTGGAAGAGTGTCACAATGTTGGGAAAGAGATGGATATACGTTCTAGCAGCCCCCCAGTCGCGTTGATTTTATTTATAGACGCAAATTACTGAGGCACTGTTCTGCCAACTGACAGGCTTACAAATCGTTTAATTAATTTATGATTAGCTTAAGCCCCACAAGTGGCACCACCCCCCATTCCATCCCAAGCCCCACCTCACCTGTGCTGATCAGCAGCCCATCTCCAAGCCAGGGCTTGAAGAACTTGTACTCGGAGGCCTTGTCAATGTACACATGACTGCTGAGCAGTAGCTCCACGTCGCGGGGGTCGTAGATGAAGACCACCAGCTTGGGACCGATCCACATTTTGGCAATATGTTCAAAGGGGGCGCTCTTCCGGATCACTGTTTTGAAAACAGCTGCAATCAAAGGCAATCAAACGGTGCAAAATCCCACTTAATCACGTTATCCGATCGATCAACACCTACATGAAGCGGGTCCAATCACGTCGAACAGGTGTCCCACGATGGGCAGGCCACGCGGGCCCGGCAGTCGTCCGGCCAGCCTGTAGAGATGGGCCCGGGACAGACGCCAGTATATGTACCACAGGACCAGGGTGGGCAGCAGCAGGAAATAGAAGACGCTGCTCGGGGAGCCCATGGCGGCGTCTTTCTTTAGCACTTCCATAGTTTTGGCGAGGATTCAGATCAGTTTATCTCACTAGTGCAAAAAAAAAGAACCAAACAAAACAAAACACCACGAGGCGGAGTCTGGAAGCCTTAGAAGATTTCCATGCGCGATTAGGTTGATGGCGGGGCACTCTATGTCCGATCGGATATTGGATTACCGGTAACCGGATGTTTGTCGCTGCTCGTCCAGCGTACAACTGACCGATGCGCCCCCAAATGGCGGAGACTGCCCCTCCACAAAAAAAAAAAAATGTAAGACAAAAATTATACAAAAATCAACCCACACAATGACATGACATGTATTAGACAGTAGGGGTAGCAAAAATGTATAAATCACAAATGATGAACCGACGTCGCACACTTCTGGGGCCCTCCTCGCTGGGGGACTAGCGACCCCCGACAGTGCGAACGACTTTTATAGCCAACAATGACAGTCCAGCAAAAATCAAACACACAGCACACACAACAACAACGACGACGAGGAGGGATCCGAATCGGAATCGGTTCGGTTCGGTTCGGTTTGGCTCGGATTGGATCATATGATGTGCATAATCGCTACGAGCTCGACCGCCCTATTCCGCGCTGTTCAAAGTTTCAAATTTAACGGGAACTTTCTTGCGGCGTGGGCTTTGCTTTGCTTCAACTGAAAGTTCGACTTGAAAGAGGCAGCTTTGAGAGCTTTCCCTTGTCAACAGTTTGGCCAAAGCTTCACAAGAAGCTTGGTTCTTGTGCCGAAAGAATGGACAAAGCTAAGGTTAGAATTGATCATTGAATCTATTCCTTTCTATACCAGATGGAGCTATTTTTATATTCATCATGGTTTTGACAGAGAACTTTTGGAGGTTTTCGGATAAAATATATGCAGCAGTAACAGGAATCGGTAATCCATCTGCTTAAATTAATCTGGAATCAATCAAAAAAATTTAATCTTTTCTTTGTTGTAGGGGGGTTTGTAGGGGGGCGCATCGAGACGCAATTATAAGAAATGCAGGTGGGTTCCAATATGTATATATGTATGTAAGTGGTACATTTGGTAATTCGTCTGGTATGTCGGCCGGTTGAAATTATGTTGGATCCGAAACTAATTCTAGCTTACATGCCAAGAAAACGGTGCGCGACATGCGGATAGTAAGAGCCCACAGAACCGAAAGAGCGAGAGCGAAGCTGTTTGCCTGGGGTGTTACCTGTTACCTGCTACCCTGGACACTCTTCAAACCAAGAACTATCATTAATTTTGCATGTTTTTCTTCTGCTTTATTTTAGAGATGACATTTATACATCACATGGACAAGAGGTACTAATAATGTTATTGATAACTTAAGCTAATGGTTAACATTAAACAAAAAAAATATTTATGTCTATATATAGTGTATGCGTATGTATTTATTTATATATTGAATCACTTGCCCCGCCTTTAAATAAATAATTAATTATAGTATGTAAGTATGTATGCTGTGATCTCAGTACGTATGAGCAATATTATTGCCTAGACATTTGACTATATAATAGCTATATGTACAGACATTAACTTATGGAAGTCTGGCAGTGGTACGCCTTAGCTAGTGCCCACTGTCACCAATGGCAACCCTCAACCTTCAACTCAATTCAAGCCTAACTAATCGTAACTGTGATATTTTCTGATATTTTTGCTGTGGCCCGAAGATTATGCTGTAGATTATTGGTGGAAGCTCTCTCTCTAGCCATCTCTTATTCTACATCGGTCGCTGTTTAGTTGCTCCTTAGACAGAGGACTCGTAGATGACAATTTGCAGGACCTTGGGCTTATTATTTTGTGCCTCCTTCACCTCTTTTAGAATGGCATTGGTGATAGCCTCAAGCGCAGCAATATCCGGGCTGTGGTCGTTCTTCTTGCTGTTCCACTTTGGCATGGAAACCTGTAAAATGGGGCAACATTTTATTTTGTGGACTGTTTGGAGGGTAAATACTTACAGTCAAGACTTTTTGGAGCGCTGCATAGTCCAGACCCGTGCCGGCTGTCTCACCCAAGCGACGCAAAGTCTCCGCCATGGGACCGGAAAGTTCCTGCAAAAACGAGTATCAAATGTACATAACACTCTCGCAATTTTCTCGATTACGGTGCCCCCAGCTCACCTGCAACTTGGCCCAACTGGTGGCATACTGACGCCTCACCAGCTCGATAATCGTCGATGTCAGGGCCAGGCCAATGAGAATGTACAGAGTACAGAGCAGCATATAGTTGGGTTTCTCTGCAAGGCGAACACAGTCAATTTATGTATATATGTACATAGGTGCATGTTCTAACACCTACTTGGCACCAGGTCTCCGAACCCAATGGTGGTCATGGTAATGAAGCAAAAGTAGAAGCCATCGAAGAAGGTCCAATCATCTTCCCAAAGCAGGAGCAGACCCGCACCGGCGGCCAGATAGACACCCAAGAAGCCAACAGCCAGAATGGCGTAGAACCAGGTCTTTCCTATGAAATTGGTAAACTTTGGCTTGGCTAAATGGGATGAATGACAGATAAAATATATGCTGTAAACTGCCCACTGCAATCTGTAATACACTTACTGGGCATATGTTTTCCAAACACTGAGACGGCGGTGGCAAAGAGCCGACCCCAGTCGGCTATCACCGTGAGCGTGAAGGGTATGCCGATGAGGGCAAAGCAAATGCAGAATACCCGTCCGCCGGTAGTCACTGGCACAATGTTGCCATATCCTGAAATTCGATAATTTTGAGTGTTGTTGAATGCCTCTGAAAGGCAGCGGCTTTTTGATGACCTACCTATGGTGGTTAACACAGTCGATGAGAAGAACACAGCCTGCAGTATGCTCCATCGCTCGTACGGCTCTGGGAAGTCTTTATCGGCGACTATAAGCAGGCCCCCTTCGGCCGCCTTTTGAACAGCCTGCAGGCCCCAACAAAATATCGAAAATTTAAATAGAACCAAAAGGATTGACAAATCGTATGCTAACCGCTTCATATTTGGCCAGCTCAAAGGACAACAGCTCATTGAGATTGTTCACTTCGGTGTTGTTCAATATGGCGCTCATGAAGCGTTCCCTTTGGCTCTTGACCACATCCTTCAAATCGGTAAGACGTTGCACTTCCGCGGGACGCTCTAAGTGGCGAAATATCTGTCAAAGAAACGAATATCCCATTAAAGAATAAGTAATGGTTAGCTTTAGTTCTTAGTTAAAAAAGCAACTCATTTCTTCAGATTCATCCAATCTTCCGACCTAAATCCAACCTTGTTCCCACTATGGCAAACTCCAATAATTTCTCCTGGAAAACCGTCCGTTCATTCACACCTTATTCCGATATTTTCTTAATAATATAATTCCCCTAACATCATCAACCCCTTTCCTCTAGATTTGATTAAAAAACATACAAATGGGCGAAACTCCAAATTATTTTTTGCTTGTGCGTCAACCTTTGACCTTCGAACCCAAAGGTAACAAATAAAAATTTTCAATAAGAAGAACAATCAGTTTTAGTATAAAGAATTCCAAAATGTTGTTCAGTTTTTTGATGTTTCACATCTTAAGTGCGAAAAGAAAACGAATTAAGACAGAAATCGGTTTGGAAGCCAAATCAAATCTTCATTCAATTTCTCGCACATCATCACAATAAATTTGTTTAACTTTAAGAACGGTACGTCCATCCTCTTTGTCTTCAGTTTGTGCTGTTTTCGTTATAAAAATAGTTTTTACAAATCGGCATCGAGTTTTATTTTTAACAGCAGATCGAAGAAGCAATAGCGTTCGCAAAAACAAAAAAAAAGAAGAAAAACAAAAAAGAAGTGGATATTCAATTTAAATGTATCAGACAATTTTTCATTCTCACACAGCAGCCAACATGCGATGGAAGATATATGGGCACCCTTGAGTGCGCTTCTTGACCCTGTCCCACCCCACAAGTATTTCCTTCACTTTTGACATTGATATAGTCGAAGTCCAAGTCAACGCTGGCCTGGAATATTCGTTGATTTAAATTCCTATCCTGGCCCCTTTTGATTAATTGCAGCCTCATGCAGCTTTTTCTCTGGGTTTCCCTTTCAAAGTTTGAGAGTTGCATTTTCCACTCACGACTTCTGGAGTTGGGCATTATCCTAATTAGTTTTGTTCCCCACCCAATCCCCTCGCGGCCTGCGTCTGACTACTTCCCAAAAACATTGACGGGGCGGCGACAACTTGTCCAACTCCAATTGGTGCCATCCTTGGAGATATGTACATACATACATACGCACAGACCATGATAACTAAAAAGTGAGAGACAGGGCGACAGATCTATAATTTGCAGTGGCAGAAACAGCTCAGTAGACAAGCGTTAAATTAAACGTACACTCCCACCCACAGTCACAGTTCCCTCCACAGTTTCATGCACGAAACTGTCGTAGTTTCCTTCACAGTTCCTTTCACAATTTTATTTACAGTTGAGGCTTGTGTCTGTGGCTTTATTTTCTGTGCTTGCGCATAAATTATAATTATTATTGGACAGAAAGTGGGGGCATCTTCTCCTTCTCTCCGCTCCTTTTCAGTCAGACGTCCAAGCACCACAGGCTGTGGCTTTGGGTGAGAGATCCCCTGAGATGCGCCCGGAGATGGGTTTCGCTCTCTGCTAAATGGGGGGGACATTAAAGGAGTGTTGGCACCAGGCCATCAGTGACTGGCATACCCCAAAAGGCCACCCCAAACAGTGATCGGCTATGAGAGTTCCATTAGAACTGGAACTATCTTTTAGACATTTAATTGAAATTTATGATTAACTTCCACTTTCGTGTACAAAATCCCAGCTATAAGTGACTCCCTACCTTATAATTCCATGCAAAACGAGAGCTTAAGGCACTTGTCACTTTGTCGCCCCATTTGGCGGACCATAAATCTCACGCAGCTCTGAGCCCCCAGGGCTGGCCAGCATGTACGGCAATTAACGCACGACATATGGAAATAATGGAGTGACCCCCTTGACCCCTTCCTTACTGGCTCCACCTGGCCATCTGGGCTGGCTCAGGGCGATGTGCCCGCCTGTTAAAGAGGGCTTGACGCCTGACCTAAGGAAGATTGACACAGCGCAGATGCAGCGACATGTCCAGTAGGTAATCCCCACAGCTGTAGCCGCTCCCGGGTTTTAATAAAACCTCCAATGTTCAGGGCCATTTTTCTTCCTTAAAAGAACAACAAAAAAACAAATCCCAGCAACAAAATGCTTTTGCTGCGGCCATAATAATGATGTTCGCGCCCATTTAGCGGGTGATAATTCATTTCCGCTGCGAGCGTCCAAAAGCAGGCTACGGTCAGTAAACAAGCCACAGACAGAGTGGCAGCCAGACCCCAAAGCCGAGGGCAGAAGGTCACAGATTGATTCTATACCGCACACCAGCACATGCGTAAATATTTTTGTAGGGTGAACAGTAAAAAAGGGAAGCCAACTTTACCGAATAATGGTATAGAGGGTCATATTTCAGAGGGGCTTGGACGTGGCGAAATATATACTCAAAGATCTGGTATGACCGTACAAATCAAAAGTTATACTCGAAGGTATGTAGAAAGAGCGGAAATATTGTAAGCCATGGACAAGAATCCTCTTTTTTCATGATCTGCTCAATATAGAAGTTCTGTAGAATACCATCATAAGGGGTACACGCTCAACAAACAATAAATAATAAATATTACACCAAAATTATATATTTATGAAAATTACTTTGAGGGCAGGCCTTCCTTACTCCATCTATCCATCCATCCATCCATCCATCCATCCTTCCTTACTCCTATATAATAAATATAAATGGATATTATTTATTGAAAATTAGATCCGGGGGCGGCAATGACCGCCATGCCAAGGGACCTTACCCAGGACCAGTTTCGCCCAGGGAGAAGGAGAGAAAAAACTTGCGGAAGCGGCGAGCGAATGTGAAAATGACCAACGGCACTGGCGACTGATGGGCGCCCCACGAAATCAGTCTCGTTGTAACCTTAAATATTGCTCCCTTGATTATTGCTCACTCCCCTCCCCCATGTTGTAGGGGTGCGGGTGTGTCCGGGAGTAGCCGGAAAGGGGGGGAAACACTTTTTAAGATTTTCCAAATCAGTGCCTTCCTGTCGCGCGCGGTTAAAACCGCGGGTGGGCATCGCCGGCATCTGCGGCATCTCCACGAACTTTGCTTTGTTGATTTTATGAGTTTATGATTTCATAGCAAATTAGACATACATAATTCCCGAAAATTGTTGTTCTTGCTGCCGCTGTATAAATCGCTGTCAGTTCATTAAGTTTTGATTATTTATTGAGTGTGCTTCGCAGGGTAATAAAAACGAATGGTTTGAGGGCTCCACACCCATAGATCTTTGTTAAATATAATGACTAAACAATTGTTAAATGATTTAATGGCAGCGAATCCATATCCAATTGATATGGGCATGCGATTCTCAGGAGCTGCGGATCAGAGCAACCCTCTATAACTCTTTGACTATATAGACGAAGAGGAATATTTACAGCTTTTATTTTTACCCACCATATGCCAAGGCTTTTATTAAGTTTATTTCGATATTCTTGGCAGTATGAAAGGTTGCAAAAAGTTCAAAATTATCTACAAGCCTCTTCGCCTCCATTACAATCACAGCTTGTTGGGACCCGGTTGACGGGTTCCAATCGCACACTTAAAGAACTGTCGACACACAGCGCTGCGCAGCACTGGAAAAAACACCCCAATTATAATCATAAACATAAACGTTTATTCCGTTTTATGGCCACGGCACAGCAGACCCGACGGGGACCGCCTGTGGCGCGAGCCACTCCACTCGCACTTTTGGCACTTGACATATTTATGTGTACTTTTGCCAGATTATGGCCAAGGTCGGTTTGTGCCCCAAAAAAAAGTTCGCCCCAAAGAGATCACACACAATAAAATCAAATTAAAATTCAACCAAAGCATAAGGGAAATGAAAAATGCCCCGAAATGATAACCCTGGTGTTCGGAGTGCGGCTCGGAGCAGCCCCACCTGCGGCTGGGCTAATTAGCCAATTTCGTGGCACAATAGCCGACAAAAGCACCATCCATGTAAGTGCCATTTGCCCCACTGGCGATTCCTGGAGCGCCTTTAGATGTTTGTTTTATGCTAATGCCCAGTGCTTGACCCAAATACGGACCCCAAAAAGAGACAAAGGATCTATATACTCGAGTTTCGTAAAGGAGGAGTACGGAGATGGTAAATCGCGGAATCGTTCGGGACTGGGCACAGACCCAGTTCAGAGATTGTGATGATTATCAGGTCTAGACAATGGACCCCCCACACACACACACTCGGACACACACTTGTGAGGATGATGATTACCAAGATTTTGGTACTTTGGACTATGGAAATGAGCAGCTTTATAAGTAGCATGAGGACTGGCACTCTTGAAAATATTCGTGCTCTGTTCCAGTTATCGAAGTACACGTTGATAAGGACTGGGAAATCCCAGAAGTACCCATACCGATGCATGCCTTTCCGATGGTGGGGCCGCATGTGCTCTGAGGTTGGCCAGTAGTCGCAACTGGAAGTTTGTATTCGTTTTCCCATTAAGCACACGTTCTTATCAAAGTATCAAAAGTCCCAAAAACACACCAGTTTCCAGCGCCGTGGCCCACCCTCTTGCGTGACCATCAGGACGTGACAGACATTTGGACAAACCAAAAAATTATGTTCAAATGGTACGTTTGGCTATGTGGCAGCTAGAGGGCACCCCACTGCCACACGCACGATTTGCATGCCACGACAAAAAATCAGCTGTTAAAGCTAATATACTCGCAGCACACACTTTATCCCAACCCCACCCCCCACCACGACCTGTCCGCGCATATACCATACGCGTGCAATAAAGAGTTTTTCATTTTTGATTTGTGTGCGTTTTTTTTGGCGCGTTTTTACCCGCTACCCGTGGTGTGTGTAAGGCAAACATGGCAGCCTGACGGCGAAAAGATTATGCCAGGTCAAAGGGGCCTTAGGTTTGACTGAGCGTGGCATGCCACATGGCATGGCATGACCGGGATGATGGGCGACGGATGATTGACCCCACTCCCGATGGAGCAAGCGATAGTTAGCGATAGGTGGTACATATATGGGGTATACTCGTATGTACCTAAAGATGTTATCTTCAA